ACCTTATTTTGTTGTACCGTGCTATTAACAGGTAACATACTGAACAGATGAGAAAAACATTTGAAAGGTTGGACGATATTGAAGTATAAGTTTGTGCCTCGAGATATTTTTTAATATTGTTTTATCACAAAATTGGATACACACGATGTAAATAGTTCGGTTATCACCGTTCCATATAACACAAATCACGAGACGAGGATAGGGACATTTGTGAAACGTGCACGGGGACAAGTGAACGAGCGTAGGGACATAGGACTTTCAACATTTATGAACGATTATTTATTGAAAAATAATAATTATCATGATTAATATAAGTGAATTCCAATTCTGAAGATTTTTCCCTTCTGATATCTCATTATGGTAGAAATATTGGACTGATGATGTGTTCACTTTAGCTAGACGAGCGTAAAAATTGTATTAGTCTTTCGTTTCGCTTCTCGGATCTTGAACGAAACGAAATAATAACGTTATTACGAGAAACGAAATTGGAAATGAAATTTGAATAACTTTATGGCGGGAATCGAAACTGGGATCGAAACCAGTGGCCGAGTAATCACTAAATTTGGAAAAAAAAGTTGTAAATCAAGAGACCCTATAAGCCTATGCATTCGGATATGAATATATGTTGGAAATAACAAATAATAACAATACTTGAATGCATCCTGGAGAGAAGGGAAAAGTGGATGTATCCGAGTGTTTTTATTATGGTTTATTTTCAACAATAATTGACATTCGACTGCATCGACTCATAAGGCCTCTTGATTTCTCACCTCCTTTGGAAATCTGGCGAGATGGTATTTTTCAAAATAATTGTACAATTTTGTGTTTGTTTTCATGAAATTGTTAACGAAAAAAAAAATTTCATTGCGTTTCCTCGAATTGAATTATGGAGCTCCATTTAGCGAGGTAGGAGTACGGTAGACTCTGTTGCGCAATCACTCGACCAAAGATACTACCGCATCTGCTGATAACGTTATTGTCAGATGCAAAAGGTGGAAATGAAATTCGGGCTGCATATGTCCTGGAAATTGAAGCAGAAATAAAACACGGTTTTGGAAATGACCATAGAGGTTGCCGGTTTTAAAGATGAATGACTCGAGTATTAGTCCCCCAAATATAAGTACATACGTATGGATTAGATGATCATTATAAGTCGACATCCACATGAAAAGGGGCCACTTTATCGATTCTAGTTACCAAGATATTTACGTTTTTGTGTCAGCAACTCCCATTGGCTCCAATGTTGAATTGTTTTTTCCATCTTCTCGAATGAACGATCCTCGAGGGCTCCGACTTCACCTCGAAGACTGCCCAGCAAACTAAGCGAAACAAACTTCTCCTAATCGCTCTGCAATAGTGCAGAGAGCCTATAATGAGGACAACCAATTATACTCTGGAGCCTCGGTTCAGTTGACGTAGCTCAAACAGGAGTGGTTCATACTTGAGACGCTTGTCCTCTTCTTTAGATGTTATATTGCTTTCAGCCAGAGCTGAGAACTCAACGACATAGATGATTTTGTCATCGAAATCAAAGAGGACAATGTCAGGTTTAGTTGCAGCGATAAGCCTGACAGTCCCGAATGAGAAGTTCCAATAGATCTTACACCTCTCATTCACGACGACGGACTCAATATCTCCTCGAACGTAATGGAGCACCGGCGTTCAGTCTATTCCATAAGAGTACCGCAAATGATAGTACAGTACTCTCAAAGCCGCATTATGACGATGAATATAACTCGTAATCGCAAATGGCGGACAAGACGATAAAAGACGCGTTAGAGTTTCCGGGGACTGTCTACAAGCTCGACATCGAGTATCTGCAACTTACAACCCCATAATGCGACTCCGACAGACCAGGGGGTTTATAACGCCGTCCTGACACACGCATATGAAACTCTCCGTTTCGGACATCAAGTTAACAGACTTCAAGCAAGAGAAAGTCAGCTGCACGGACAGACCCTGCTTTTCCACATGACGAAAGAATATGCCATGCATGGGCTTGTCAACGTGCTGACGGAGCAAGGTGGACTGCTCCGCCTCCTTGATGGCCGCTCTCCGCCGAGACTTGGTCATGCTGACCAGTGAATCGCGAGGCAACTGACCATCTCGACCACGACGAAACTCCAGACCGAGGGAATCTGCTGGGGTATCTGCTGCCTTATACAGAAAGGCCCGCACCCCATGCAGTTCATGATCATGAACGAACTCCAAATGCGGATCCAAACCATCGAGATACGCGGTAGCGTATCGGATAAGTACACGTTTTATACGACTCCAACCGAGAGCTACCAAGTATCTATACACCACACAACTTCCCCTTCCACTACCTCCAATCCATTTTTTTTATTAATAAATTTACGCGATCATTTAGACGAAAACTGGTCTTAGTTACATCATATAAATCGCATATCAGCTTTCCACTGATGCAATTATCGGTTTAATTAGTTGAATATTAACGAAGATATGCACATAGCAACGAGCTATCATACACATTTCTCGCGTTTCAATTATCCCCAATAACTAACGGGTTACACTTGAGCCACTGAGTTGGCAGCGCGACTCGAATTCTCATTTTTCGCGTTCAGCGATTGCCAACAGTGTAGTGTAATACACGGGTGCAATCGTCGTTGAATTATACTATATCTCGATCATGCGATATCGTGATTGGCCATTGGCTAGTTAATATGGCGGTGATCTAGGGACCCTACGCAACACTATACATTAATCTCGTGCAGTGAAGTGTTGGCATAGACATAGTATAGTACCTAGACAGCGCATGTGAGAGGCAAGCTGTCTACGTTTAGCCAGAGAGAGAAACAAAACCGGTCCCAACCTATCCTTGTTCAGCACCACCTATATTCAGTATACCTATAGTTCAGTGCTTTTAACCCATCAACATGGCCGACAACGACGCCAACAACCCAGCTCCGGCATTTGCCCAGGATGACGACGATCTGGTAAGTTTCTAAATATTAATTAATGTATTAAATTATCCGCGTTAATATTTGGAGCAGATTCGGTCATCTACTTTGTTTATTGGACATGTTTTTAGGGGGCGAATTCACTTTGTGTTCGACCATGATTTTTGAGTTTTGTTTGTTAGAATGTGAGAGGGAAAATTGCGTGAATTATTTCCGAAAAATCGTAAAAAAATAAAATATCGGTCTTAAATTGATAAAATAAAATTAGTAACTGTGGGGATTAATAATTTAAGAGTGAAGTTCAGTGTGAAATCGTGTATCATGATTCGATTGGAAATTAGTTTTTGATGAATAATCTCTGAATCGACACGAGATAGTGAAATTTTTGTTAAGATATTTTTTGTAGATCTCATTTCATTCTACAAAAAATGTTGTATCAAAAATTACGCCATCTCGTCCATATTCTGAGATATTCTCCAACAAGTGATCTCTAATCACCATCAACTCATCCTGTTTTTCCACCTAGATAGTAAACATAACCTCCAAGCTTCCAAGACTTCTACTAACAAAATCATTAAAGATATTTTCATTACACCATTTAGATACTGAAATTCAGTAGAGAAGTGATTAATAAGCGTAAGTTCAACCCCAGGCTGAGTTTTTAATGAATAATCTTCATTAGATTTGGAGATATCCATCAAAAACACAGCCTGGAATTAAACTTATGCTCGTTCATGACGTCGTTACTGAATTTTAATATTTGAATATTGTAATGAAAATATCTTTTATGATGAATGATTTTGTTTGACGAATATCTTGGAATCTGGATGAGATTGCGAAATTTTTGTATAGACCTTGTTTGAAACGCAGCTAGACATCAACTACTTCAATTAACTATTTCGGAAATCTCCGTGAACGTTCGGGTCAACGGTCAGCGAGCCACTGACCCGGAAGAGTCACCCACCAGTCAGTATTATTCGAGGCATGGTCTAAGTTAGTCAAATTCACGCATTTAAGCAAAATTACTTTGAGTTCAGTACATCAACCAATTTCATTTGTTCAGTTACAATTCAATTGTGTTCAACAAATTATCAATTTACTTCACAGACAATTATCAATTAGTTAACCAGATCTTCAACAGTGTACATAAAAACCGTGACTTTGGTGCTTCTAGCACGCAATAAATTTAGTGGTTTTATAAAACATTTTGATCAGTTATTCACCGGCTCGACTCTCTTCCACTAATCCCACGCCTAACCTGCATCCACCCAAAATTCAGATTCCTCACCAAACACTGGTCCTTCGAGCCGGATCGCGGGTTTTGTGCGTCGATTAGTGTCGGGCAAAAAAGAGACGCGTCGTGTGACGCCATTTTGGGGTTCACACGACCAAGTTCAGAACGTTTGAGTGCGACGCCTAAAAGTGTAAACAAAGATCATCAACAAGACACCCAATAGCTCAAGGGCGTCAATAAGGNACAAATTATCAATTTACTTCACAGACACTAATCAATTAGTTAACCAGATCTTCAACAGTGTACATAAAAACCGTGACTTTGGTGCTTCTAGCACGCAATAAATTTAGTGGTTTTATAAAACATTTTGATCAGTTATTCACCGGCTCGACTCTCTTCCACTAATCCCACGCCTAACCTGCATCCACCCAAAATTCAGATTCCTCACCAAACACTGGTCCTTCGAGCCGGATCGCGGGTTTTGTGCGTCGATTAGTGTCGGGCAAAAAAGAGACGCGTCGTGTGACGCCATTTTGGGGTTCACACGACCAAGTTCAGAACGTTTGAGTGCGACGCCTAAAAGTGTAAACAAAGATCATCAACAAGACACCCAATAGCTCAAGGGCGTCAATAAGGTCCGACAACATTCGGGAGTGATCGGGCATCACCGCAGCGATTCACCAGCAGAAGCCACTCCCACCGAAGCATCGTGTGTCGCGCCATTTTGCCAATCACCAGCGCCAGCAGAGATCACCAGAGTCGGTAACGTAGCAGTCAGTATGTTACCTACATTGATAACCTCTGACCCGTTACCATGTCGAGCACCAACACGGTTATCGACAAGGATGACGAACTCAATGAAGAGCGGGATCAGTCCCTCTTCGAGTCACTCAACAGACAATCATCAGGACAATCAACTCAAGAGGATCGGATTGAAAACATTCGGTGGTAAACCTGAGCAGTGGAAGGAATTCAGTGACCTTTTCCAGTCACTGGTTGCGCAGAAGATCTCAATCCCTCCAGTGCAGAAGCTGGTCAGGTTAAAAGAATGCCTAAAGGGACCAGCAGCAGCATTAATTTCCACCTTCACCGCCACGTCCGAAAATTACGAGAAGGCGTGGCAGAAGCTGAGGAGGAAATACGAAGACCCAAGGCTCGTCGCTCAGACACTTTTCAACAGGATCCTCAACCTCCCCAAGATCACCAAGGTTACCTCAGAGAAACTCACCGCCAACACAGCAGCAGCCTCGGAGACCTTGGATCAGCTCCAGGAGGTTGAAGGCCTATCTCAGGAGAACCTCGTTGAACAGCTGATAGCACATGTTCTCAGACAATCACTGGATGAGGAGACATTAAAGCAATGGGAACTCAAACTTGGAGACTCCAAGGATTTCCCAAGCCTTCAGGAATTTGCTACCTTCATCGAGTCTTGCGCCAGGGGAATCAGCGCAGGAAAATCTTTTCATTCATCACAGGAACTCAACGCAAAGAAGAAGAAATCATCGATGAAAAAGAGTTCGTACGCAGCAGCCAGTCAACAACCTCAGGAGGAAAAGAATCCCGATAGACCTCTCCCACGAACTTGCTGCGCATGTTGCAATGAGAGGCACTTTATCTCAGACTGTCCCAAATTCAACCAGATGACACCACAAAAGAGGAACGAGTTTGTGGTCGCCCATGGCCTCTGTTTCAACTGTCTGGGACCACACATCAAATCAAGGTGCACCTCCAAGAAGACATGTCACAAGTGCAATGGAAGTCACCACACGCTGATTCATGGCGGCAGCAGATATACCTCGGGATCAGAGCCTGCACAGCACACACCAGTCCCATCAACGAGTCAACTCACTGCTCTCAGGCCAACAACCGACGTTTTGCCAAAGGAGAAAAACCTCAGTACATCAACAGCAGCAGTGAACATCAACAATCAGCAGATTAGTGAGAGGGCAGAGAACAATAGCCAGTCAGCAGAGTCTGATCAACAATCAGTGCTGTTAGCAACAGCAAAGGTACGAGTACAATCACCAAAGGGATTCAACATCGAAGCCAGAGCGTTAATTGACCAAGGCTCAGAGATCTCATTCATCTCCGATCAATTAGCGTGTCAACTACATCTTCAGAGAACATCAACAACACTGGAATCAATCGGAATTGGCGAGATTAATTCCGGAAACACGAAGGAAATGGTTTCGGTCATCATCGAGGCACTCAACGGGCAGAATGCAGTCAAGATCATCGCCCACATTCTAAAGAAACGGCAATATTGCCATCATTCCCCCATCATGCTCCCTGCAAGACCTCCACCTAGCCGATCCTCACTACTTAAGGCCTGGACAAATCGACATAATATTAGGGGCTGATAATTATGGGCGGATCATCATGGATGAAGTTGTCAAGTCTAACAAAACACAGGTAGTTGGCCAACGCACAGCATTTGGTTGGATACTATCGGGTCCAATCAACTGCACCGGTTGTTCTAAATGGGTCTCCTTATCAGCTGTAATGGAATCCACTAACGAACAACTACTAGAGCTTCTCCAGAAATTTTGGGTCCAGGAAGAGCTGCCAATTCACAAAGCAGAAGATTCAGAGCTATCACCAGAGGAAATGGAGTGTGAAGAACACTTCAAATAGACCCACAGTAGAGACGACACCGGACGCTATATAATCAGGCTTCCTTTGAAGACAGCACCAGAGGCGCTCGGCGAGTCGAGAAACAAGGCCTCACGTCAACTACAGTCAGTCATCAGCAGACTCAACAAGAATGAGGCATATTCCCACTTGTACAAGGAGTTCATCACCGAGTACGAGCACTTGGGACATATGCAGAAGGCGCCGGATGCTCCAGAACCTAATCCAGTCTACTATCTTCCGCACCACGGGGTTCTGCGAGAGGATGCGGTCACCACGAAGCTGAGAGTCGTCTTCAACGGCTCCAGTGCAACTTCCTCAGGTATGTCACTAAACGATATATTACATTCTGGTGGAAAGTTGCAGGTTAACGCCATGGACGTCCTGACCTGGATGAGACGTCACAGACTCGTCTTTGGCACAGACATCGTGAAGATGTTCAGGCAGATTCGAGTTCACCAGGACGATTGGGACCTACAGAGAATCCTGTGGGTTGATGACAGTAACCAGCAGATCTCCTATCAACTCACCACAGTCACCTACGGTCTCAATTGTTCACCATGGCTATCATTGAGAGTCCTCCAACAACTAGCAGAGGATGAAGGGCGCCGTTTTCCCGTTGAGACAATCACCAGGGGTCGTTATGTCGATGACATATACGGCGGTGCTCAATCACCAGAGGACCTAAAGGAGATAGCAGTTCAACTACAGGGGCTATGCCAAGCAGGGGGCTTCGCTCTCCAGAAGTGGAGCAGTAATTGTCCAAAGGCGCTCCAAGAATTAGGTCTATCACCAGAATCAGCAGTTATCGAGTTTGAGGAATCAGTCACCAAGGTCCTTGGAATGTGTTGGCATCAATCATCCGACACATACAGGTATAAATCCAGAGACTTCAACTCGTCGACGATCACCAAGAGAGTTGTCTCATCAGAGATAGCCCAAATCTTGGACCCATTGGGATTCATCGCTCCAATCGTCATCAGAGGGAAGATTCTACTCCAAGAGCTGTGGAAGCTCAAAACGAATTGGGATGATCAGCTTCCAGATGAGTACATCAACGGCTGGAAATTATTTAGAAACGATGTCACCAGTCTAGACAGAGTAACTGTACCCAGATGGCTAAGACTCTCAACAGAAACAGCAGAAATTCAAATTCATGGATTCGCTGATGCCTCAACAGTCGCCATGAGTACAGTAGTCTACCTTCGCACCAAGAACTTCAACAATCAGACATCAACAGTCCAGATATGTGCGAAAACCAAGGTAGCACCCATCAAACAGATCACGATCCCACGTCTAGAGCTCACAGCAGCTCTTCTACTGACCCAGCTAGTGTCGTCAACGTGTCAGATGCTTCAACTCGCCAAAGACCAGGTAGAAATCCACCTCTGGTCAGATTCCTCAGCCACACTAGCATGGATCCGAAGCCACCCATCAAGATGGAAGGATTTTGTGCGCAATAGGGTCGCAAAAATCCAAGAAACTCTACCAACAGCCCACTGGAGACACATCAGGGGCACACAAAATCCAGCTGACTGCGCTTCCAGAGGAATATCACCGACAGAGTTAGCAGATCATCAACTGTGGTGGTCAGGGCTAGAATGGCTTAATAAGGATCCAGAGGATTGGCCACAATCAACTATAGACGCTCCAGTAATGGACACTCCAGAGGTGGCCAAGGAGTCGAGACCATCACCAACACACCCAGCTGTACCGAGAATTATCAAAATAGCAGAGATCCTCAACAGGTACAGCACGATGGCCAAACTCCTAGCAGTATCAGCGACAATCAACAGAGCCATCGACAGATTCAGCAGGCAGCCAGTGCCCCCGGGACCTGTGCTGACAACAGCAGAGCTCAACGACGCAAGATTATTCTGGGTAAAGGTAACACAGTCACAGTACTTTTCACCAGCAGTTCGATTGTTAGAGAGACCGTCAACTTCCAAGAAGTCACCCACTAGCCAGGCTGACTCCAACATTAGACGAGCAGACCATCATGAGACTTGGAGGACGGCTCAAAAATTCCTTGTTGAGCCCAGATGAAATTCACCCCATAATCTTGCCTCGACAGTCCAGATTCACCACGCTAGTGATAGAAGAAGCTCATCGCAGAACTCTCCACGGAGGGACTCAACTCACGCTAGCATATACCAGAGAGAACTACTGGATCATCGGAGGCAGAGGCACCGTCAGGGCGTATATCCTACGCTGTGCCGTCTGCACTAGACACCGAGGTAGACAGACTCAACAGCAGATGGGCCAGTTACCCTCAACAAGAATCTCACCAGCACGAGCATTTCTCCACACAGGGGTGGATTACGCCGGTCCATTCCCCATCCTCAAGTGGAGGCCCACGAACGCTTAACCAGGGAACGTTCACATCGCAGTTTCCGTGTGCTTCACCACCTCAGCCGTTCACCTAGAGCTAGTCAACCGACAGACGACTGAGGCCTTTATTGGAGCATATAAAAGGTTCACTGGAAGACGTGGAATCCCTATCATGTACAGTGACAATGCAATGACATTCGTTGGGGCATCAGACTTCCTTGAGAAGCTCTATCACCAAGAGTCCAGAGAAAATCAACGAATCCAGTCAGTACTTGCCTCCAATGGGACACAATGGAGTTTTTCACTGCCCAGGGCACCCCATTTCGGTGGCAAGTGGGAAGCAGCAGTAAAATCAACGAAACATCACCTGAAGAGAGTGCTGGGGCCATCAACACTGACGTATGAGGAACTCAACACCGTAATAATACAAATAGAGGCCTGTCTTAACTCCAGACCCATCTGTCAGATGTCAGATCATCCAGAAGACCTCCAGACGCTCACCCCAGGACATTTCATGGTGGGAGAGCCCCTTCAACTCATACCAAAACCATCACTCCTAGATAAGAACGTCAATAAAATCTAGAGATGGAACCTGGTGACCCAGATAACTCAACAGTTCTGGTCCAGGTGGTCCAGAGAGTGCCTTCAACGTTACCAGTCAATCTACAAGTGGAAAAGTCAACAAAAGAATATCAAGGTTGGCGACATGGTGCTGATGATGGATGACAATCATCCACCAGCCCAATGGCCAATCGCAAGAGTCATCGCAGCACGACCAGGAGCAGACGGGCTCACGAGGGTCGTGACAGTAAGAACAGCGAAAATCCAACCAGCCAGGCACATAGATGGGTCACCAGACCCACCCAACTTCAGAACGACGTATTCAGAGTTCGACAGAGCCATCACCAAACTCTGTCTACTGCCATCAGATCAACCACCTGCAGAACCAACTCCAGATGATCAACAAGACACTCAGTAAATTCACCATCGCAGACAGTGAATGCCCCCGGGGTGTTTGAAACGCAGCTAGACATCAACTACTTCAATGAACTATTTCGGAAATCTCCGTAAACTTTCGGGTCAACGGTCAGCGAGCCACTGACCCGGAAGAGTCACCCCCCAGTCAGTATTATTTGAGACACGGTCTAAGTCAGTCAAATTCACGCATTTAAGCAAAATTACTTTGAGTTCAGTACATCAACCAATTTCATTTGTTCAATTACAATTCAATTGTGTTCAGCAAATTATCAATTTACTTCACAGACAATAATCAATTAGTTAACCAGATCTTCAACAGTGTACATAAAAACCGTGACTTTGGTGCTTCTAGCACGCAATAAATTTAGTGGTTTTATAAAATATTTTGATCAGTTATTCACCGGCTCGACTCTCTTCCACTAATCCCACGCCTAACCTGCATCCACCCAAAATTCAGATTCCTCACCAAACAGACCTTTTTTGTAGAACAGAATGAGATCTACAAAAAAGATTCTGCTAAAAATTTCGCTATCTCCTTTAGATTCAGAGATAAACTGTTGAAACCAAATTTTATTCATTTTTTCTCTTTAAGAGATTCCTGGGACGCTGGTCCACCACCATCCCCACCCCCACTTCCACCTTCGCCACCACGACGCCAGCCTTCGCCACCACCAGAGCCAAGGGACCAAGAGAACCCTGCCCCACATCATCATCCAGACCCTAATGTTCTACTCCACCACGTGGAGCAGCTTGGTCGACAGATTGCTGATCTGCAGAGGCAGGTGCGTCTCGATCGACGCAATGCTGCTCAACTGGCTCAGGATCCTCAGGAGCCTGCTCCAAGAGGGAGGGGCAGAGGTGCTGCTAGGGGCAGGCGCAGAGCTGGGAGATTCTTGGGGGAGAGAAACAGGTGCCGCGCTGACCTGTGTCCGTTGACCCGAAAGTTCACGGAGATTTTCGGAGATGGCCGAGTTAGTCGACCGTGACCATTATGGAGATTTAGGCTGTATTTCGAACACCAGATGATAGCTCCATTTTTATAAGGACCATTTTTGTAGTTCTATTTCTGTTCTACGAATAAGGTTCTTATAAAAATTTCGCTATCTCTTCTAGATTCAGAGATATCATCACAAAATGATCTTCACTTCCTTCAAAAATAGGAACATGTGATTTAAAATGTACAGTCTGTTAAACATAAAATGTGAAATAGTCTATGTAGAGTCTAAAACGTAACTTTGTTAAAATATTATTTTGAGAAAAACTTTAAAAAATAGGAACATGTGATTTAAAATGTGAAGTATGTTAAACATAAAATATGAATTAATATTTAAGTAATTAAGAACATAATGTGTTCAATGAAAAATGAAGACTAGAAGAAGTTTGTACAGAGTTTTGGAAATAAAACAATGGACCTTGTAAAATCTCTCGTCCAATAATTCCTCTGCGTCCCTTGTTCCCATTGTCTTCTTCTTCTTCTTATTATTATCTTCTTATCTCCTTTTCCATCTTTTATAATCTTCTTTTTCTTCTTATCTTCTCCTTACATAATAAAAACGACTGAATGGATTCCAATGGAATTTTCAGTGTTAATTAGTTTCGTAGAAACTTCTAGAAAATTGTAGAACCTTCTGGAAAAAACTAGAAAATTCTCGAGTTTTTGAAAAAATTCGAGGGTTTTCTAGAAAGTTCGGGAAAATTCGGGGATTTTCTAAGAAAACTGAGAAAATTCATGGCTTGTTTGGAAAGTTCGAGAAATTCGGTGGTTTTATAGACAAATTGAAAAATTCGGGGGTTTTAACAAAAAATTGAGAAAATTCACGAATTTTCGAGAAAGTTTGAGAAAATTCGGGGGTTTTATCGAAAAATTGGGAAAATTCACGGATTTTCGAGAAAATTCGGGAGTTTTACAGAAAAATTGAGAAGATTTACAGCGTCAGATGGCGCTGTAAATTGATTTCAGAATCGACTGGACTCTTGATTGACGGTTCACGTGTCGTGCAGTGTTGTGTGATACTTCAGTTGGTTGTGTTAGAGTAAGACTTTTGTAAATAAATGAGAAAAAAATGATTATTTTAGTTAATTATGTCGACTCAAGAAATATTGATCGGTTTTTCTCGTATTTATGTATTGTGTTTTCATTGTAGGTGATCTGGTCACGTTTTCTATCCCCAGCCGAGGTGTTTCAGGTTTCTAACCTATATTTTTTATTTACTATCTTTCTTTTCTTTATCAGTAGTATCTTTCTCCTCGAATTCTTCCTTTGACCTTTCCATTCTTTCAGTTTTCTCTCATCAAATCTTCCCTCAATGTTCCCCTGATTTTCAGCTTTTCACAAGCTGTGTTTTCAGCTTCTCTAAGCTGTTATCATTTCTTATTCAGCTTTCGTAAGCTGTCTCCCTCAGCTCATTGAAGCTGTTGCTATAACATCTTCAGCTATTCACAAGCTGTGTTTATCAATTCATTAGACGTTAATGTGTGGCAGTACTATTGTTAAGTGTGTAGAATTTCATTCATCAAGAGTGACTAAATAAATTGAATAAATTGAATAAATTTTGAGACTTAATTGTTTTAGTTTATTTAATCATGCCTTTGTTCAATCGCAATTTAATATTAACAAGGGGACTAGAAGGTTGATTATCTGATGATGAGATTGACTACTTTGCGCAATTACTACATCAACAATTTCAATTCGAATTCCGAGAATCTTGGGAATTCCAGCTGCGGGATTTTATGGAATCGATCAATCCCTGTAAGAATCATGTACATTTGTTGCATAGTATGAGTGGAAATTTTTCAGATAAAGACGCTGGAGAAATGCGTAATGGACACTGGATTTGTACATATTATGACGGGAATTCTATCTATATTTATGATTCTGATAATGGACGCAAACTCGATCCTAAACATATTGAATATTTGAAAGCCCTGTACCCATTCTATCCAATTGATATACTGGGCGTGAAGTTCTGTAAAGTTCAACAACAGCAAAATATGTATGACTGTGACAAATTGCTTTTTGCAATAGCTTTTCCCGTGTCGATTGCGTTTGGGGAAGACCCTGGAACAATAACATATGATGCGTTGAGAATGCGAGAGCATTTATTGCACATCTTCGATAGTGGGAAAATCTCTGAGTTCCCAGTTCTCAGAAATTCTTCGGTGCAAGTTCAGGCCACACCAAAAAACCCACCAATCTCCACTCATCAAGAAATGGAATTCGAATCACTTCTAAAAGAAGATAAAGAGAATCTGCAAGCGAATGACCAGCAAACCATCGTAAAGAATCATCAGAATCTTCCGCAGTATATCGACCAAAGTCAGACCGCTGACGGTCGATTGTAAGGAGATAAGAATCAATCACACGCGATGGAGGTTGATGATGACAATAACACGGGCGATGGGCGTTTCATTGGAGAATCTCAATCTAAACGCGTTTTCAATGAAACATCATTTGAAAAGTCCAAAGACAAAGAACCCCCAATCAAAAAACGTCGCCGGGCCACAAAGGGATGCGGGGTGCAGATTTCGCCGCTTGGTCTCGAGTGGATAGAGATAATTCGTAGATGTGAACAACTCAAAAGTTAACACATGGAATTTTTTGGAAAGTTATTATCAAATCATTCCGATTATTGTCATCAAGATACATTATTCTTGCAGAGGCTCGAGCAAATTGCACCCATACCTCTTGCGAAGAAAAATATTCAGATTCTATATAGTAATGATAATGAACAAACAGGAGGGTATAGACATTGGGTGTATTCTTTCTATGATGGTAGGAATATTTTCATTTATGACTCATTAAATAGGCGCTCATTACATGACGATCTCAAAAAATTTCTGCGCACTCTTTATCCCTTCTTTAGTATCTCGAATAATTCTGTACGATTCATATCAGTACAAAACCAATTGAATCATGTTGACTGTGGTGTGTTTACCGTAGCGTTTGCAGTATCGTTATTATTTAAGGAAAAACCGGAGTATATCAGATATGATTACTCACTGATGCGGGGACACCTGATCAATATGTTTCAGGCAATGAAGATCACCCAATTTCCTCATACCTCCAATTCCAATCCACCGACACTCTTATCGCTACATCAAATTCAACAAAAAGAACGAAAGGCATATCAAATCCGTTGCCGTGGGGACAAAAAGGCTTCAAAAATTACTGATTGTGTTGAGAGCGTAAGGGCGGAGAAGCTATCTTCATCTTCACATATAGATGAAAATAGAATAAATGATTTAAACGAATACTCTACACAGAGTCAGTTAGTCATACCATGTGAAGAGATAGGTTCTCAGTCACTGCTGCATGATTTGAATAGGAATAGAGCTAAAGAGATTGCCGAACCTGCCACAGTTGAGAAGAATGATAATTCTCTCAGAGAAGATTCGAGCAAAGAAGAACGCAGAAATCTCACCGATTTAAAGCCAAGAAAAGTTGCATTCAAAGAAAAGCACAGGAAAGTGTCTGAAAAACCCAACAAAAAATCTCCAACTTCATTCATCGTGAAGAAAGGTACTTGTACGGATCGTAAAGCGAAGCCGGAAACAATTCCAACTAAAGTCTGTCCTGAGCAATACGTAGAAGAAGTGACAAAGGTA